AATATAACTTTATTATTCCTACATTACTTCTACTATTCTAGCATTGTGAGTATACAATTTAGTACCTCTACTGCATTTTAGCCTTGTAATTTTTTTTTGTCTTTTTTTTACTTATGTTTTTCTTTTTTTTGTTTCAAGTCTTGCTGTCATTCGATTTTTTTTTGAGCCGCTATCACTTTTTTCTGGGCCGCCAGCTCTTTTTTCTGGGCTGCCAACTCTTTTCTCTGGGCCACCAGTTCTTTTTTTCATTTAGTTTTTTTGATCTTTTTTTCTACTTCTTCATTTACTTCTTTTAACTTCTGCAAACTTTCATCATTAGTAAGAAGTTGTGCAAATAGAAGTGTCTTTCTTTTTTTAGGAACGGGACCAGACTCAGAAGAATCTAAAGTTTCAATCTGCGGGGCTTGAGGAAAGCTATACTTGAGAACTAAATGCAAAGAACTTGTTCTGGGGTACTTGTAGGTTTCTAATTCTTCTTGGGCAGCTGTTAACTGAATTTTTAGTAATTCAACTTTATTATTAAGCATTTTATTTTTTGACATTAACTAATCAAAATTTGTAAGGGTATAATGTGAATAATTAGGTTGGATAGTCATTGGCAAAGGTGATATAGTTGGTTGTGAAGATTGACTAGATGAAGGCACTATGTTTGTCACTAATGAAGAGTCAAAACAATTTGATAAGGGTTGGCTAGGTGAAAGCACTATGTCAAATCATTCTGTCACTAATGAAGGATCCAAGCAATCTGGGTTAATAGCCTTGGGATTAAATAGCCATATACCTGTAGTTTTAAAAGAATTACAAATAGCTGATGGTGTATAGGTCTCAATAAAGGCTGGGCCAAGAATTTTCATAAAAGTATACTTTGTTACTACTTTTTTAATAGTATTATAATACTTATCACTTTGTTTACCAAATTTCTTTTTTAATTTTACAAAAGGAATTTCAGATAGCTGCAAGATATGTGTCATGTGAGGTGGAAGCATGAAAAGAAGGATTCTGTTTTGATAACAAAAATCAATATATGAATAGCTAATATGACTTTTATGGCCATCAAGCATGAGTAGTATAGGTTGCATTGGGAGAATCGAGTTAATGAAATGGGTAAGATACATTTGAAAAAGGTTTTCGTACATATAATCAGTTTCTGTAAAACCCATTACCGCTCTAGAAGGTGCACCTTGTAATAAACTAGGAATTGTGCGAATATCTTTATAGATAATTAGAGATAGGATATATGAACTAGCGGCTGAGATTGTAGGAGCAACTGAGATGTGTTCATGAGAATTTCCATGAGCAACCTTATGAACCTAACATGAGCCTTTTTTTGCAAGAACTTTGTCTAACTTAGGTATAAAGATGAACCTGGTTTTATCTATATTTCAAATTTGCATTGCTTTAAGTGAATTTTCATTAATAACTTTTTCAAGTTTATCAAAATAATCTCTAACGATAGTTGCATTGGCTCTTTGTACCTGAGCTTCAGACAATTCTTGAGGGGGCATGAAATGATAGCTCCAGATGATCCCTCATGAACCTGGTCCACCAATCCCGACCTGGTCCTTTATCCCCAAAGAGGTGTGGCTATTTATTATTCTGCTATATTTCCATTACACAATGGTTAACGCTGGACTTAGTCAAACCAAACCCAAGCCATTGCATATTTATACAATCACTAGCAAGTTGGTTTTCCTCATATTCTGTAAAAATAGTAGATAGACCATGGTGATTAGATAGATTTCCATTCTTAAATACATGTCGTAAAGTAGCCTCAGAAAGTCTAAAATCTCTGGCTACGCTACTGATATTTGGGCGTTTATTGTCAACAGAATATTTGTTTAACTTATTAATTGCAGCAAAAATTGTATCTTGTCGATTAAGGTAAGAAATTTTAGGCATTTTACAGTTTTATTCTAATATAATATAATTATAAAAAACGCAATTAACTTAAGAGACAAATAATTAATTTAATAAAAAAATGGTTGATCTTTAGTATAACCGGGCAATATAGAAATACTATAAAATTATAATATAAATAAATAACTATTTAACTTAATTTATACAAATTTGGGACTAGTTAGGGTTAGGGTAAGGGTTATAGTGTATATTAAAGTTAGATTAGGGTTAGGATTTGTGTTTTTTTATATAATAATCTTATAATATTTTTATATTGCCCAGTTATTCTAAAGAAGATCCAAAAAAAGAATTATTAATAATAAAGCAGTGATATTTAATTAATTTAATAAATAAATAAATATAAGAATGTTAAATAAATAATAAAAAAGTGCAATTTAAAAAGTGTAATTTAAGTATAGTACAATTGAGTATTGTTAGAAAAGTGGCCTCCGAAAGTGTGCAAGATCTGAATAAATTTTAGTCATCCAATAATTTAATTAAACTTTGAATGATTAAAATTTTATTCAAATACTTCTGGAAGACCATTTTCATAACAAATTCTAATTAATAAACCTGAACTAGCAAAAGCCCAGACTATTCAGCATAGTATTATTTAAAAAAAAGAAAAAACAATTCAAGCATAATGAAAATTGACAAACTTTGTAAAAGTAAATAGGTTTGATAGTTACAAATATTATAAGAATAACGTGACTAATAGAATTTTTTTTTATTTTATTTAATACAGGTTCCAAAAACACGATGCGTAAAATTATGCAAATTATTGAAAGTTTGTTTGTTTTTTTGTTTTTTTTTTTTTGTATTATTTGGGCATGCTATTTATCCGTTTTTTCTTTTAGATGATTATAATACATGAATATTAATATAAAATAGTTTAAAAAGTTAATGATACTAAAATTCTTCACAATACCCTCTTTATCACAATATCCTTTCACCTAATTTTGTAAATACATGTAATTTGTCTCTATGAACAACTTTATTTAGAATACTATGGAGACTACTTAAATAGGCAACCAAAAGTTGCATGTATGGCTAGTCGTACTCTCGTTAGTAAATAATCAGAGAGCTTAAATAGGTAATCTCCTAGTTAGGTTGCAGGTATGGCGGCTAGTGTAGAACTCAGGCGGACTACTTAAATTAGGTACCAAAAGTACACGTGTGGCTAGTTGTATCCTTGTAAAATTGATGTAATATCGTAATTACCTGAATAAAGCCAAGTGCCGGGGACCTAAGTGATCACCTTAATATATAAAAAAAAAAAATTTAGAATACTATAGTCAATTTACATAATACGAAGTTTGTCTTTCCTTGGCTATACGTTTGTAGTTCATTAAAATTTTTTATAAAATGATTATTTTAATATGTTATTGACAATATCTCGTGATCTAGTAATCAGATTTGGATGATTTTTGCACCATTCGATTCGTCTTAATAAGACGAATCGAATAGTATATAAATTATTCAAATCTAATTGCTAGATCATGAGATATCACGAATTCGTCACAATACCCTCTTCATCACAATACCCCCTTTCACCTTATATTTTAAAATTTTAATATTTTATAAATTTTATAATAAATAATATTTTTTTTTTAATAATTATTTTTTACAACTACAGTCATCCTTCTTTATAGTTACCTTCTATATAATCACACTCTCTTTATAAGCACCATTTTTTTAAAAAATTATTGTTAATATATTTATTAAAAAAAAACTCTATATAATCACATTGTTATTAAAATTTTATAATCATATTTTTTTTATATAAAACAAACCACATAATTATAAAGGAGGATGACTATATTATATTTTTAAATAAAATTATTAAAATTTATTTAAAATTAAAAAAAATTAAAAATTCTATATTAGTAACTTTATATATTAAAATTTAGTATATAAATTACTATATATAGTAAGATATACATAGATTTTAATATATAATAAAAATTTTTAAATAATTATAAAAAAAAATTATTTATATAAATTTTAATTATATATATACAGATTATTATTTTAAATATATTAATTTTTTTATTATATAAGAATTTTTAATAAATAAATTTAATTAAAATTTTTGTTTTAATAAACTTCAATTGTGGGTGTGGCGACTTAGTGAAGTAGTGGAGTTGTCGCACCCCAGACGGCAGGTCTAGAGTTTGAATCCCACGGATGTCATTTTCGAAAAATAGCCCTGTGATACGGTTAATAGCTATTCAATAATCGGTAGGATCTAGAAATCTGTAATCTCGGTCACACCATCTAGAATGAGAGCTTTGGCGTAATAAATCTGAGATACCAGAAGAACCAAAAACCCGTTTGGCAAGTCCCGAGTTGGAAGGTAGTACAGTGCCCGGAAGTAGATCACCGGAAATTTCATAGGTAAGATATATATGATAATCTTTTTTTGGTGAATTTTTTTTTATATTTAAATATTTGTTGCACAAAAGTTGTATTTTTTTAAAGTACAACTATTTTTTTTTTGTATGGTGAAAAAAAACCCCCGTAAAGAGCTCAGTCAAGATCAACGAAGCCGTATTATCAGCGCTTACCTGTGTGGTTTTAGACCACTTCATATTGCCCAAGCTCTTGGTTTCCCGAAGTCAACGGTGTATGACACTGTTAATCGGTACGACGAAACAGGCTCAGAACACCCAAACAAACGCCCTGGTCGCCAGGAAGTACTTTCTGAGCATGATAAACGTGCTTTAGTCCGTATTGCAAATAATAATCATAAAGCACCATTGGCCGTCATTACAAATGAACTGAATCTTCAGCTTGGGACGACACTTACCACCAGAACCACCCGAAAGTACCTCCACAATTTGGGTTAGAAAAACTGTGTAGCCTGCAAAAAACCTTTTTTAAACAAAAAAAATGCAAAGAACTGAAGAAAGTGGTGTCGTGAACATTTAAAATGGAAAAACGAATAGCAAAATGTTGTTTTCAGTGATGAGTCAAGGTTTTGCCTTTACAAATCGGACGGTCGTGAAAGAGCTTGGCGCCGAGTTAGTGACAAATATCATAAAGATTGTATAAATACAACTGTGAAGTTTGGTGGTGGTTCCGTGATGTTCTGGGGTTGTTTTTCTTGGTAGGGAGTTGGACCGTTAGTGGAAGTAAAAGGTAATATGAATTCAGATGGTTACATCGATGTACTTGCAAAACATTTTGTTCCCTGGGCAAATCTTTATTAGAACAATATCCGGATGAAATAAATTTAGTATTTCAACAAGATTTAGCTCGTGTTCATACATCGACTTATTCAGAATGGTGGATAAAATCTCATGGTTTCGATATATTAGATTGGGCACCGTATAGTCCTGATTTGAATCCGATCGAAAATCTTTGGGAACGTGTTGATTCGGCGCTACGTAATAGAAGGCCAGCACCTGAAACTCAAGAAGAATTGGTTAAGTGTATAAAAGAAGAATGGAATAAAATACAAATTGTGTATATTCATTCGCTTATCTGTAGTATGTCGGCTCGTGTGATGGCGATATATAAAGCCAAGGGATGGCATTCGAAGTATTAAAAAATACAGTGATTTTTTTTTAGAATTTAGTTCTAAAATAATTGTTTTTATTTTATATAATTAGTGTAATTATACTATATAAAATATAAATAAATAAAGATCGCATATAAATTTGGTTCTTAAGTGTTACGTATGAAATTTCCGGTGATCTACTTCCGGGCACTGTAGTAAAGAATCTGAAAAAGAAAGAAGTTTAAATATGGGTGCTGGGATTGTATAAACCTAAATACAAGGGCAAGAAGTATGTAACAACTACTAAAATAAGAAGGTTGTAGTTTAAGATTCAGATCAAGTTACGGCAGTATCCTAAAAGATAGCTTAAAATACAAACTCAGTAATAGTAACACAACAGGTACTAGATTAGAAAGAAGTTACTAAATATGCAGATAAATACATGTGTGGGATATATACTACTCTGTTAGGTTTTCTTTGAGGATAAAGTAGTTCTAGATAGGGTGTAAAATTTACAGGTAGTGCAAAATCTAGTATATGAATAGTAAGTTATATCTTGGTTAGGTAAAGAATAATAGAACAGTTGTGACCAAAAAGTTTAAATAGATAATCTCCTAGTTGGGTTGCAGGTATGGTAGCTAGTATAGAATCTAGAGCAAACTACTCAAATAAGCAACCAAAAGTTGCAAGTATAGCTAGTTATACTCTCACTTGTAAAAGCTAGAGAGCTTAAATAGATAATTTTCTAGTTAGATTGTAGATATAGCAGCTAGTATAAAACCTAGGCAGACTACTTAAAATAGATAACTAAAAGTTATACATGTGGCTAGTTGTATCCTCATCATAATTGTAAATGTTGTTAATTATCTAATAAAAAGCTCTCAGCCATAGAGATTACTTTAATACTGAAAAAAAAACAAAATAAAATAATAATATATATAATAATTATTCTATTAACAAAAAAGAATGACTGCTTTTTCTAACTCACTTCTTGCAATATCTAACATGTTTTGTACTATGAAGTTTAAAATATGACTAAAACATCATACTAATTGTTGTGTACTATCGAACTAAATGCAAAGTTGTAATAAAGAATAAGCAAATTTTTGCAAAAACCTATTATTAGATGCTGTATTGTCATGCATAATTGCAACTAACTTTGGAATAATTCCTATTTCTTGAAAACATACTTCTATTGCATTTGAGATCGTAGCACCTGTATGTGACTTATTCATACTAATGAAATCTAACAAAATATTTTTAAGTGTTTATAATATATTTAGATAGTAAATAGTTATTGCCAAAAATGACTTGTTATTACTATCAGTCATCCATATATTGGTAGTTATAGCTATGCTATTAGGAATTTCTTGCAACTTATTTTAAAGCTTTATTCATTTCACTTCAAAATTATATACTATATATCTTTTTATTGAATTGGCTGAAGGTGCTATAAAATAAATAAATAAATAAAACTATATATTTGTTTTTATCTACAAACTCTTTTCTAACTAAATATCATATCAGTCATACAAGAATCTAAAAATTTAAAAATCAATTTAAGTTTTTTATCCTTAGTAATTAAAAAAGGTTGATTGTATTTAATAATCTATTTTTTAATAAGATTATCAAATTTGCTTTATTAAATAGTTCACAGAAATGATCATTAATCTAATAAAATACAATTATACTTTAAATTATATAAATATTTCTTCTAATATATATGTTTTAAAAATATATAGTACATTTACTTTATTATTTAGCATATTAATAACAGAGACACTGTCTTGTTCTATACTTAGCCTTTTTAATTTAGGTACTTTACTTTTATGTATTTTAAGATGATTCTTAAGATTTGATATAGTTCTATCTTGATATACTAATTTTGTACTACAAAAATTATATATTGTATTGGCACTGTTTTTTTTGAAGTAGTTCTATATGAAAAACCTATAATATAAAGTAACAAGTAAGTAAATATGTATCAAAATAATAATATAGTTTATTAAAAATCTTTTCAATACTATAAAGCTTTCTATCTAGGATGCATAGTTTTATTACCACTTTTTGATTGAGTTAGTGATTTACTAACTTCAGCTTTATCTTTGTCAATATAAATAAGGTCTTTATCAATATTTATAGGCACTTGTTTATAATAAGATTTACTAGGTTTCCTATAAGAAGGCATAAATAAGATTGATATTGTAAAAAAAAGCCTCTTAAGATAAATAGGTTTGAAGAAAGTTTGAAAAGTTCTTTGGTATTAGAAAAAGTTTTTTTTAAAAAAAAGTTTCATGTTTATTATTATAACATGTAATGCAAAGTTTTTATATCAAAAAAAAAAATTTTAAAAAAAAATTTATTCAAAAAAAAATTTGAAAAAAAAAATTTAAAAAAGTCTATAATCTAAAAATTTATACAGCAGTATAGTCTTTTTTCTTATAGATTAGAAATTTTAGAGATAATTTTATAAATTTGGTATAAAATAAATTCTTTATATTAGAAAAAAATGTATTCAAAGTTTATTATTAAATACTTTTTTCCTTATATTTAAATATCTTAAATGATTTAGAAATAAAAAAAAAAAATTTCAAAAAAAATTTATAATTTAAAATTCATAATAGCATCTCTTTTTCCTTATAGATTTAGAAGGCTTAGAGGTGATTAGTATAAAAAATAAGTTTACATTAGAAGAAAAAAAAGCATTTAAAGTTTATTATTAACTGCTTTTTTTTTCTTAAAAATAAAAAAAAAGATGTTACTTTTTTTTTTTTTATTAGCTAGATAATATTAACTAATTAGAATATAATATTTATAGCCAAATATTGATTATTATTCAAATAGATCTAAACAAACCTATTGGATTAGATCCTAATATAGATCTGGATTTGTCAGATTTTATTTTTTGTGAATTTGGATCTGATCTGATCTATTGGATCTAGATTAAATTTGCAGAATACTAACCTGCTACAGTAATCAAAAAAAGCAAAAGTACTATAAAAAAGAAACTTAAAAAAAAAGAATGTATTAATAGATATTTTTTAAATTATAGAAAAAAAAATTCAGAAGCAATAGTGTATAAAGAATATAAGCCAAAAAAATATAACTAATCTTAAATTCATCTAACAATTTTTAATTATTAACCTGCCACTATTAAAGCCCAAGCTAAAAAATTAGATTTAGTGTAATACTTCATGCTTTTAAACACTATTCTGACTGATCTGCTATGGCAATGTGCTGTAAAAAAGAAACTCAAAAAAAAAAGAATGCATTAATAGGTATTCTTTAAATATGCTACTTGTTCTTCTAGTTATTATGTAAGTAATTATATAAAATAAAAACTATATATAAAATACAAACTACATGCCTGATCCTGCTTAGACTTGTGATTGAAGAACTTGAAGAACTTAAATACTAAAATAACAAATCTTAAAAGAAAAAAAATATATCAAATTAGTTAAAATATGAAACAAGTATATCTTATAATATAAGTAACATAAAATCTCTAGCTGATTAAGCATTATTGTTAATAAAGTAGGTTGTTGCAAAACTGGTTTTTAGTGAAGTAGGTTGCTGAGAAATCATTTTAGAAAAGTGAAGCTGAGGAAATTGAGCTGTCGGAAAAGTAGTTTGTTGTAAATTCAAACAGAACTATATATATTATATAGGTTAGAATACTCTGCACTTGATTGAAGATTATCTTCGAACTAGAGAAGATTAAGAATCAAGTTTTTGTAATTTAATAAAGTAATATTTGAACTACATTTTTGACTTAAAAAGCAATAGTTGGATGGTTTTATAAATTTGAGGTCATCATAGGAAAAACCTTTAGC